AATGGCAAAAGTTGCGCAAAAGTTGCGCTGAAGCCAAAAATTGCGTACGCAACTTGTGGGTTGCGCGCGCGAATTTCTCTGAGGACAGATTAATTCAATATTAATTTTTTTTAAAAAGATAGTTGTTGTTGTTATCGATCCAGTAACAGTTGGGCTCTCGCCATTCTGTCCAATGCCATGTGGTGATAAGTGCAGGTTTGCTGCAGTTGCTGTAATGTTCCGTAGAGTGTGTTGTCAACGTTAGGTCTCGGAGGGAGAAGGGTAGCTCTGATGTCATCCAGGGCTGTACAATGGAAAAGGTTATGATCCACAGTCTCATATGTATAGTCACACAAAGGACACACTGGGGGAAGTTCCGGGTTTATTCTATTCAGGTGGAAGTTGAGCTGTATATGTTCTGTTCGTATGCGGGAGATCGTGGTCTGTTTCTTTCTCTGTAGGTGGTTGATATTGTAATTCCTTTTTGTTGTGGTTATATGTTTGCAAACTGCACTGCCTCTCTTTCCCATGGCCCATCTGTTCATCCAATAGTGTTTGTTGTTGCTTTTAATGATTTGTTTTGCAGTGTTGTATGAGGTTGGAATGTTGGGTTGTTCCTGTCTAGATCCCCGTTTGGCGAGTGTGTCTGCTCTGTCATTTCCAGGTATTTTTGAGTGTCCGGGGACCCACTTTGAGTCCATTTCTCTTTTTTGGCTTTTTTACTGTCATTTTCCCATGAGCGCAGGCCTTGTTATAGAGTATTTTGTTTATTGGTGATGGTGATTTTTCCAATGACTGTCTGGCTTTCTCTCTTTCTTCCACAGCAGTCTGGATTTCTTCAGTCCAATAGGATTTGAAATTTCTTCGGCATCCCCGTGGAATGTGCTGAGATGCAGCTTTAAGAAAAAAAATAGATAAAGCCTACCCATTTATCAATTCAAATTCAACTAACAAAACACTCCAAACAAACAACCAAATAAAACAACAACAAAAACAAAACAACAAGAGATAATGCCTAGATCTACACATTTTCCTAATTCAATATTCAATTAAAAGAAAACATTTAAAAAATAGGGCATACATATTTATCAATTTATTATTAACCCCCCCCCCCCAAAAAAAAAATAAAAAAAATAATGGGGGGTACACATTTATTAATTCAAATCAATATTCAATCAACAACAAAAAATAATAATAAAAGATAGGGCCTACACTTTTCTAGATTCAATATTCAATTTAAAAAAATAAAGCCTACACATTTATTTAAAAAAAAGAATAATAATAAAGACACATTTATCGAAATCCCCACCCCCCAAAAACTTTTAAGAAAAGATAGGGCCTAAACATATTCAGTAATTCCCCCCCCCCCCAAAAAAAAATAAAAAAAATAGAGCCTACACATTTATTAATTCAACATTCATTTACAAAACAAAACAAAAATCCTCATAGGACTCCTTCACACCCCCCCCCCCCGACAACTTTAATTACTGTGGAACCATGTACGCCCCACCCGGCCTGCTCACACACATCAAAACGTCCGTGATGATGGTGATAGTGGTCGGTGAGCGGCGGGAATACACTGGGGTGGAGTTCGAACCCGTACACCTAGGCCAGTAGGCTGGGGAAGAGGGTCTCATCGTTGTCACAAATAATTCGTTTATTAAATCAATTTGGGTACAAGCATGTACTTTTTTTTTAAACCCACAGGACACCATTCCCCCCCCCCCCC